ACCTAAAGCAGCTATGGCTGCTCTAGCTCAGGCCGTCATGCCTAGCTCTGCCTCGAAGCTTCTTGGTGTAACTCTACCCCAGCTGGGGTCTTCCTGCTGCAGGGCCACCAAGGTGATGAAGATGGCTGCCACCATAGCCAGGTAAGTACCTCTGGCGCTCCCCCTTCTTCCTGCTCTTCTTCCTCCTCCGTGTCCTTGCTCCTTCCCCAGCAGCGCTGCTGCAGCCAGCTCTCCAACCAGTGTGTCGCCAAACTTGCACACCGACAATGAGGCTGGGCTCTTCGCCTGGCGTGGAGATATAGCGGCCTGCTTGCCTCTTGGGCGGTGACTTCCAGGCCGCCCGGCCTTCCCAGCAACCGGCACCTCTTCCCTTTCGCAAGGAAACATAATTGCGGACTTTGATATTGCCCGCACAGGCCCTAGACTCAGACTGGTTGGACTGGTACCCGCCTAGACCTAGCCTACAACTACTGGGCCTCTCAAAATGCCTCTTTTGTTTTCTTTGACTCGGCCTCCAGTACCCGCACATCTACCTCTTCAGGGTGCGGTACTGGCCTACCTGCTACTTGAGTGTTTTCCCCCGCTACAATCCTCAATGTCACGGGCACAGGTAAGTACAGGCCCTGAGGGCCCAACAAATGAACAAGTGCCCTTGCGGGTCACACACACACTCAAACCAACCAGCACTCAGACAGACCTGCAGACCAGGAAGCGTGCACACACACACAGACATGCAGAACTTACTAGCAAGCGGGAAAGTCAGCAAGGCATTTAGTCCGTGAGCAAAACTCAGAAATGAACTGTCTCAGTCCGTGTTTGGCCGGGTCATCACACAGGGGGAAAACTTGAGACCGTTGGACAATCATCAAACCGGGTCATCACACGGGGAAAACTTAAGACTGTTGGACTATCATCAAAGAATCGGATACCACCTGGTCATCCCACTAAAGAGGCAGAAGTAACAGCCAGATCACGCCGGACTCGTCTGTTGAGCTTGGAAGGAGGAGGAGTGGGAAAATCACTGGTTACATGCTTGGAACAGTTAAAGCTTATTGGCTGTCAATGACAGGCAGCTTCTTTGTGGCTTTTATCACTAATGGCCACTTCGTCGGCAGTATGGCTTGCTGAGCATGGTCTTCAGATTGAGCTAACATGAAGGTGTAACTGGGCCNGTGGCTTTTATCACTAATGGCCACTTCGTCGGCAGTATGGCTTGCTGAGCATGGTCTTCAGATTGAGCTAACATGAAGGTGTAACTGGGCCTTTGAGTCCACTATCCGCCTTTGGTGGGACAAAGATTGGTCGAACAACCAGTTGAGGGCCACTTTCCTTAGAGGTCTGAGGACCGCAATTTTGGCAGATTGGCGGCGAAAGGTGACTACGTCCACTACTAGATCGAGTGGGATGAAATGGTGAAAACCATGTCCTTTCTCCCTCCCCTCTATTAGAAGTGTGTTGTTGGCATGCTTGATTGTTTTCTTTTGTTTTCCTTTAGTTCATAGGATAATGAGTTAGTTTGCTGATAGGTACAATGGCTTCACCTTTCTTTTTCTAGTCTGTGGCTTTTTTGGCATGGTTTTGCCCAGAAGTTCCGAGAAGGGTTTATTGAAATTAATAAGGGTTGGTTTGTTAGGTGGGTTGTCTGCTTTTGGTTTGTTTGGTTTAGTTGCCCTGTGGGATGGTTTCATTTTTTGGGGTTAGAAACTCAGTGCAGCGGTCTGGAGTTGGCCATTTCTGCAGCTGGAGTCTCTCTAACGCCCCCACCTAAGCTGGGTCTTGGCCACAATTTCCGGGTTGGTTGTGGAGGATTCCTGGCCTCTGACTTGTTACAATTGTTTGCTAATAAGTAGTAATACTGTAATAACAATTACCTTTTCTTCTGAGTGAGGACGCCGCCCGGCCGGGCCTGCCCTGCCGGGCTGGGCCCAGCCGGTTGGGACCGGGGCGGACATCCGGGTAAACCGGGCGGGACAAGAAAATGCCCAGAATTTTTTTTTTTTTTTTTTTTTGAAACCAGGGTCGTTCTGCACTCGGCAAGAGGACCCCGAATCTGCAATAAAATTTTGGTTTTGGTGGGGGGATGGCGGGGTTGGTCTGGGTGGGGGGTGCTGGG